GCTGCTGAAAGCAGGTATCTGGTTTGTTTGGGTTCTATAATTGAAACAATGTTGCGGTCCTGCTGGCTCAAGCCCGGCTGGCTGAAAGCAGGTTTCTGGGGTTTTGTTTAGCTTCTATATTTGTAACAATGTTTCTTAAACTGCAAGCTCAGAGGCCGGCAAGGCAGGAGGGGAACATTGGCTTCCTCCGTCACTGAAGCAAGCAAGCCTCCTGTTTGCTTCAAGCTGCCTGGCTGCCGGCCGCCATCTTGGTTGGCAGTTAATTTGCATATCTCGCTGATTAGCCAATGGGAAGGGTAGCAGAGGTATGGCTAATTACCATGTTTCTCTATTATTAGATAGGATATATGGCTATTAAGAATAGTATAGATATTTTCCAGCATATTTTCTTATTGGCTATTCTGTTATATAGGAAAGTATGGATTAATCTGTTTAACTTTATAGTCATGCACCACTTATGACTGAGAAATGTGCCATTAGGCAATTTTGTCATTGTGTGAACATGATATAGTGTACTTAAACCTACATAGATAGGCTAGTTACTTACTTTTTCTATGGATTCACCTATTCTGAACATTTTATACAAATGGAATCATACAATATGTGATGATTTGTAACTAACTTCTTTCACCTCACACAATATTTTCTTCTATTTTATAGATAGCTTTTTATTGCACACGATGCTGTATTGTTTATCAATCCATTAATTTATGAATATCCATATTGAATTCACTTTTTGGCTATAAATAATTCTGCTTGAACAGTTGTGCACAGGTTTTTTTGTGGGCATGTATTTTTAATTCTCTTGGGTATATGCCTATGAGGAATTGTTGGATCATATGGTAACTCTATGGTTAACTTTTGCGGAACTGCCAAGCTGTTTTCCTTAGTGGCTGCACAATTTTACAATCCCACCAGCAATGTATGAGAGTTCCAGTTTCTTCACATCCTTGCTAACACCTGTCATTGTCTGTCTTTAATTTTAGCCATTCTAGTGGGTGTGAAGTGATACTCATTGTGGTTTTGATTTGCATTTTACTAATGACTAATGATGTTGAGCATCTTTTCATGTGCTTGTGGATTATATATGTCTTTGTAGAAATGTCTGTTCAAATCCTTTGCCCATTTTTAAATTGGGTTATCTCTTTATTGTTGCGTTTTAAGAGTTCTTTTTATATTCTAGATATAAATCTCTCATTAGATATATGGTTTGGAAATATTTCCTCCCATTCTGTGTTGTCTTTTCATTTTCTTGATGGCGTCCTTTTAAAATTTTGATGAATTACAACTTATCTATTTTTTCTTCTGTCACTTGCACTTTTTCTGTCATATTTAAGAAACCACTGGGTAATCCAAGTTCACAAAGATTTACTCCTATCTTTTCTTCTAAGAATTTTAATTTTAGCTCTTACATTTAAGTCTTTCACCCATTTTAGTTTATTTTTGTATATGATATGAGGTATGTGTGGAAGAGTTATCCAACTTCATTCTTTTGCCTGTGTATATCTAGTTGTCCCAACAACATCTGTTAAAAAGACTGTACTTGTCCTCATTGAATTGTCCTGGCACTAGTTGAATATTTTAAGTATGATTTTTGTTTTTATCACAGTCTATTTCTGAATCAAACATGCAGTAGTTATCATATATAATTTTCTGGAAACTCAACAGTGAACATGATATGACGATAAGAAGCTGACATGATTCTCTTGGAAGTCCTAAGTGATTCACACTTTAGTTTGAAGATCAATGTGCTATTACAGGGATCAGTGACATTCCAGGATGTGGCTGTGGACTTCACCTCAGAGGAGTGGCAGCTGCTTGACTGTGATCAGAGGACCTTATATTGGGATGTGATGTTGGAGAACTTTAGAAACCTCATCTCAGTGGGTAAGGACAGTGGGTGGTAACTTCTCATCGTAACTCAGAATGCATGAATAGTGCCCTTCCTGAAGACTTGTGAAAGCTGTGAACATTCTGAAGCTTTAGTAGGTTTGGCCCTGAGTTTTAGTGATCAAAGATTCGTCATCCTCTTTGGGGTTCCGTGTGTTTATGCTTCTACCTCCCAAATGGAGGGGGAGAGTCTTTCTGTTCTAAAGACTGTTTGTCATCCTTTACAGGCCCTGAGACTCAAGGAGGCAGACCTGAGTTGTGAGGTAGTTGTTTGTCCCTAGCACCTTGTTCCCAGTTCTGTGTTGTTTCCCATGAACAGGGGGTGCAGTTACCAAAACAAAAGTGGTCGTCAAGATGCAGCAAGGACAAGAGCTGCAGGTGGTGGAGGGAGAGAACCCACATTGGAGCCACCCAGGTGAGTGAGAGAAAACTAGGTAGGTGGAAGTCTTTGGAATTGCTCAGTGAGGGACAGGCACCTTTGAAACACTTTTCAGGAAGCATCTCTTAGAAGCCACACACGTTTGGAAGTGACTGGGAACACTTGACATAACATCATCAGGTCCCCAAATGACACTTCCACTTTCTCTCTCCCCACATAGCTGCTCTTTCTCTTTGCTCAGCTCTTGTACGAAGGATGGCCCTCTCCTCTCTACTCTGGCTTCTCACACTGCCTGCTTCTAGATCCTTGCTTTGGTCTCTTAATTCCTAAAATTGTCATTCTCCTTCCCTCCCCAACATGATCACAGATCTTTTCCATACATCTAATTCTTAGAGCAAGCATGTCAAATTCAAAGACTAATACAGGCCAAATAAACAAGGTTTAAATTTATGTGGGCTGCAAAAAAAACAAAAGCTTCAATTTTCATAGAAACGTAGGTTAATTTCGATAGAGACATGCTGAATACAAAGGGCTGAAATAAATGAGTAATCATTAACATAAAATAATAGAACATTTTAATAAAAATTAATATTTTTTCTTGAACATTAACTTACCAGACACTGAATAACTGCAAAAATTAATAAGCGTAATGCAAGTCAATCTATTTTTCTTGTTATCTGAAAGCGAAATATTTCCTGTTGCGCACACCAAACAAGTCAGTACAAGACTAATGACATAGCAATCTGCTGCTAAAATGTTTGCTGCTAGTATTAGTGGAGAGAAATGGTGCGCATGTGCGTAAGGTGCATAAGGGAAATGAATACAACACGATTATAGTAATCAGTCATTAGTGAATATTGTAGTTCGTTATAATAATTATGTATAACAGGATATTGTAAAAATTAAGTTACGAAATTTTTATTAAAATGCTTCTTACATACCGTTATATTGGCTGGGCCACAAAAATATTCGTTGTGGGCCACGAGTTTGACATGCTTATCTTAGAGGGTAGTCAGATTGTGTGGATTTTTGAAGTCTTATTCCACCAATCACTGTCTAGCCTAATTACTTTGTAGCACAATTTTATTTATAAGATAGGGATAATATTAATCCTTAAAAGCCCTATGGCTTCTAAGGCGTGTTTTCTTATGATAACACCCTGAAGAGAAAGACTATCAGTTTTTCCTTCTTTATCGTTGTTGAGCACATAATGGGTATTTAGTGAACATTTCATTAATTCATTGTTGTAAAGTCAGGCATTGTGGAGATATTTCTTATTCTTTCTTTCAAGAAAGCTTTTTGTTATTTCCTGAGAAACATTCAAAGAAAGAAAGAAAGAAAAAAAAAAAACCTATTGCCTTTTTCCAGGTATGTAAATTGTAGTTGAAAAGGCAAAACATAGCCATGTAAAATATAAGTTGAGTGTGGAACATTTGTTCAGTGCATGATAACATTGCAGTTTTGTTCTAGTTAATTGTCAAAATGCATGATTTAGGAAGCAGCAGTGACTATCTTAGATATTCAGAGAAATGGAGCTTAAAAGTTTAAAGTATGCAAGGATTGGAGGAGTCTCTTTTTGAGGTCATGGAACAATGGCTCCTCCCTAAAAATATCTAAGTACTAGATAGGATGAGAGTGGATGAAGGGGGGCAAAAGATTGTAGTTATGTAGAGTTTAGAATCCTTGGAACAGCCCTGTCAGTGTGGTTCAGCCATTGAGTGTCGATGCATGAACCAAGAGGTTATTGGTTTGATTCCCAGCCAGGGCACATGCCCAAGTTGTGGGCTCGATACCCAGAAGAGGGCAAACAGGAGGTAGCCCATTGATGTTTTTCTCATCATCAATGTTCCTATCTCTCTACCCTCTTCCTTCTCTCTCTCTCTCAAATCAATAAAAACATTTTTAAAAAAGTAGAATCCTTGGAACAGAAGGTCTTTGTTGAGGACTAGAAGAATACATGCTTAGATACCATGAGTGAACTCATTATAGTTTGTTCATCAGGCTAATAGTTTGCATAGTTTGTTCATCAGGCTAATTATCCTGGAATTTTCAGTTGGTTATTGTTGATTGAGGTAACACAGGACGCTGCTTCCCATTGCCTGAAGAGAGAGAAGATGGAAACCCAATACCCATACTTAGAACCACTCTATAAAGACATGTGTATTAATATCGATAGCTTACTACTCAGTCTAGCTCCATAGAGAAAGATAAGGCATGGAGCAAGAGGCTAAGGGTTTTGTGCTAAAACTCCACATGGAAGGAATCTCAGAAACAGGGAATTATAACCCCCTCTTTCTGTTTTTATCTTTTTTTCTTCTTTTATAAAATGGAGCAATGGATTTGGGATTTATGGGGTGACTTCAGGACCAAGGCGGCTTTATGTGGATTAGTTTGTTAGGCAGATTGAAATAGGATGTAAAAACAGTTCTTGTCAAATACAAATATGACATAGTTTTCATATATAGAAATCCAGCCAGAATAAAAATGATAGCATGCAGACAGAATCTATGCTTGGGCTAAAGATAACTTGCCCTAGAATGACCCGTTTGGATATTTGTGTTCCTGTGCTTACAAGTAAGTATATGGGGGAATGAATCCCAGCTATAGTTAAGTTGGAACCCTGTCTACAGATATCTCCTCTCAGTTGTTTGGATGGGGTTAGAGTACTAGAGATATGAGAATATTCCTGAAGGAAAGTGACATTGTGCCAGGTGATTAAGAGGAAAAGGAGATGTGAATGAGGGAAATACGGAGCTATCCTAATACGGTAATCTAGAAATTAGGTAGTGAAGACTGTGATTCTGATCAGCCTCCTCCAAATCTAGTTTTTCCTCTGATATTTTTTCCTTTAACTCACTTGTCTCTTGGACCCCTTTCCATTAATCCGATCTCCGCAATGGCTCTCTTCATTCTGTGAGCTAACAAGGCACCCTTGTTGAGCACCCTTTGACTTCCTTTGTATCCTACTCACTGAACCTTATGCCTATTTTACTGTTTTCCCACAAGTCACAAGTTAAGCCATCTCTTCTCATTATTGTCATTTATCTGCTCCCATTTCCTTTTTAGAGTATTCTTAAAGCTCAGGAGCAAGGCAAATAGAGGATTTGTTTCAAAATGAGAGATTAGGTTTGAAGTCATATAAGTTTCTTTCTATAACTATTGATAGAAAAAATTAACCAGTAATGTTTCATTGTACTCCTTTTTAGAAGCTGACTGCCCATTTATTGATGAATCAGAGAAGCACCAGGAAAGCGAAGACAATTTTTTGAATTCAGTTTTGTTCACATTTAGTAAAATTCTGACTATGGAGAGACTCCATAGTTATAATATGAGCACAGATCATATTGGAAAAAATCATATAAATGCAAGAAAAATATCATATAAAGGCAAATCACATGGGAAGAGTTTGCAACCTACTTTAGACTTACTTAATTATAATAGACGTTATAACGGAGAAAACCCTTATGAATGCAAGGACTGTGGGAAAGTCTTCAAAAAGAAGTTTCATTTAATTAGACATGAAAAAAATCATACAAGAAAAAAACCCTTTGAATGCAATGACTGTGGGAAAGCCTATAGCAGGAAGGCACACCTTGTAACTCACCAGAAAATTCATAATGGAGAGAGACCCTTTGTATGCATTGATTGTGGGAAAGCTTTTATGCATAAAACACAGCTCATGGTCCACCAGAGACTTCACACTGGAGAGAAACCTTATGAATGCAGTCAGTGTGGGAAATCATTCACGTGGAACTCCTCCTTTACTCAACATGTGAAATCTCATACACTGGAGAACTCATTTGAATGTAAGGAGTGTGGGAAAACCTTCAGGTATAGTTCATCCCTTTATAAACACTCTAGATTTCATACAGGAGAGAAACCCTACCATTGTATTGTATGCGGCAAAGCCTTTGGCAACACATCTGTGCTTGTTACGCATCAAAGAATTCACACAGGAGAAAAACCTTATGGATGTATTGAATGTGGCAAAGCCTTCATCAAGAAGTCTCATCTCCTTAGACATCAGATAACTCACACAGGAGAAAAGCCCTATGAATGTAACAAATGTGGGAAAACATTTTCCCAGAAGTCAAACCTTATTGTGCATCAAAAAATTCATATGTAATATTTACCTTATGAATATGAGAAAGTCTTAGATATTAAATGTCTTTATTAAATACAGATTTCATGGTGAGAAATCTAAGAATTAGAATGAATTTGGAAAGAGTAGATTTCCATAAAAAGATAATCCCAATCATGCTCTGGAAGTGATAATAAACTATTTACAGAAAAGATCACAGAAATCATTAAATCATAAGTAATAGAGCGTAGAGCATCGAAAGTAAGCATAAATTAAATAATCAAGGAATCAGTAAAGACTACATTTACTATCCCTGATTGTTTTTTCTTTTTTAATATATTTATTGGTTTTTTACAGAGAGGAAGGGAGAGGGATAGAGAGTTAGACACGTCGATGAGAGAAGCATCGATCAGCTGCCTCGTGCACACCCCTTACTGGGGATGAGCCTGCAACCAAGGTACATGCCCTTGACTGGAATCGAACCTGGGACCCTTCAGTCCCCAGGCCGACGCTCTATACAGTGAGCCAAACCAGCTAGGGCGTTATTTTTATAACAAATTATACATTTATGTATGTGTGAGTATAAAATATGTTTATACATAATATTAAATTATATCTATTGCATTTCTGCAGTAAGTATCACCATTTTTTCTTCCAATCCTAACAACAACATGCAAGGGAAAAAATGTGTTTAATATGAAGTATGAATTTCAGTAATATTTATATCCATTTGCTGGCACTTTTAATGGGCACAGCAGTGTTACTGAATCCCAGAGTCTCCTCTTTAATTATAAAACTTGTTATAGAGACGTTTTCCTATGTATGTAAACACGAAAACAAAATTTAACAAGATACCAATTGAGGGAGGGGGGGGAAGCAGTTGTATTCTGTATTACAATAAGCATTCCATTGAGGAAAATAAGTATTTAAATAAGTATGTAAATAAAACATTTGCACGCTAACATTCCTGTTCTTTTTCATTGATGTGTTTACATAAGGTAAGCATAGCTCAAGTAGTATCTAACTGGAGTGTCATCTATATTTGATTTTAGTAAAGTAGGGTGTCCTAATATCTTGTAACTTTCAAGAAATTGACACAGGTTTACCTCCTAGGAGTGCCTGGACTTTTCTATATGACAACATAGGCAGCATTAATCAAGTTGAAAAGAGCAAGTTTTTCTGCACAGCAACTTAGCTTTGGAATGTGACATTTAAAAATATATTTTATTGATTTCAGAGAGGAAGGAAGAGGGAGAGAGAGAGTAATATCAATGAGGAGATAGAGTCATTGATTGACTGCCTCCTGCACGCCCCCTACTGGGGCTCAAGCCTGCAGTGTAGGCATGTGCCCTTGACCAGAATTGAACCTGGGACTTTTCGGTCCATAGGCCTGAGCCAAACCAGCTAGGGCTGGAATGTGACATTTTTGTAAGTTCCACATATTCCTTTAAAAGAATGAAACATCCATCATTTAGGCTAAAGGTTTTATTACTGTCCATAATATTCCTTGGTAATGTCAAAAACCTTTATGCCTTTTCTTGAGTGGTGCTAAAACAACGAACCTAAATTCAGAAATCGAGCTTCTTCCTCACAGGGTTAAGCTCATTTACAACTATGTTGCATTATTTCTTCATTAGCCGTTTTTTTGAAGAGTAATGTTGAATAATGGTTATAGATGAGATAGTGCTTTTTTGAACAAGCGTAATAGAACTTACAAATCTAAATTAAATCTTGTCTGTTGACAAATATTTAAAATTTCTTTTTATTGAATTTGTTGGGGTGATGTTGGTTAACAAAATCATGTAGGTTTCAGGTGTACAATTCTATAATACAACATCTGTATATTGTATTGTGTGTTCACCACCCCAAGCCAAGTCTCCTTCCATCACCATTTATCACTCCTATACCTTCCTAACTCTCCCCACCCCCAGGCCCCTCTGATAATCACCAGGCTACTGTCTGTGAGTTGTGTGTGTGTGTGTGTTTTGCTTAATCCCTCACCTTTCTCGCCTAGCCCCCCAGTCTCTCCCCCTCTGATAGCTGTCAGTCTGTGAGTCTGTTTCTTTTGTTTGTTTCTTTTCATTAGATTCCACATATGAGTGAAATCAAATGGTACTTGTCTTTGTCTGACTGGCTTATTTCACTTAGTGCTCTCCAGGTTGATCTGTGCTGTTGCAAAGGGTAAGAAAGATTTCCTTTTCTCCACAGCCGAGTAGTAGTCCATTGCACAAATGTAACACAGCCTTATTTTATTTTATTTTTGTTCCTGTAAATAATGCTGCAATGAACATAGGGGGGCATATATTCTTGAGAATTAGTGTTTCAGGTTTCTTCGGGTATATTTCCAGAAGTAGAACCACTGAGTCATAAGGCAGTTCCATTTTTAACTTTTTGAGGTAACTCCATACTGCTTTCCACAGTGGTTACAGCCACCTGCATTCTCACCAACAGTGCACGAGGACTCCTGTTCTCCACATCCTCACCAGCACTTGTTGCTTTTTGATTTATTGATCATAGCCATTCTGACATGTGTGAGGTGATATCTCATTGTGGTTTTAATTAGCATTTCTCTGATGATTAGTGACATTGAGCATCTTTTCATGTCTATTGGCCATCTGTGTGTCCTCTTTGGAGAAGTGTTTATTGTAAATGAGCTTTGCCCATTTCTTGTTTTTGTTTTTTTGGTGTTGAGTTTTATAAGTTCTTTATAAATTTTGGATATAACCCCTTCTTAGATGTATCATGGGAATATGTTCTCCTATACTGTGGGTTCCCTTTTCATTTTGCTGATGGTTTCCTTTGCTGTGCAAACACTTTTAGTTTGATGCAGTCCCATTTGTTTATTTTTAAAATCTTTGGTTTCCATTGCCTGAAGCAATATATCAGGAAAAAATATTGCTATGAGAAAGGCCAGAGATTTTACTGCCCATGTTTTCTTCTAGGATTTTTATGGTTTCAAGTTAACATTTAAGTCTAATCCATTTTTGAGTTTATTCTTGTGTATAGTGTAAGAAGGTGGTCTAGTTTCATTTTTTTTTGCACGTATCTGTCTAATTTTCCCAACACCATTCGTTGAATAGACTATCTTTACCCTATTGTATGGGTTTGCCTCCTTTGTCAAATATTAATTGACCATAAAGGCGTTGATTTATTTCTGGGCTGTCTATTCTATTCCATTGACCTATATGTGTTTTTATGCCAGTACTATGCTGTTTTGTTTTTTTTATCTTTTGCATATTTGTTTACTAAAAACAAAGCACATTACTAGCATGCAGGTTTAAAAGTAAGGTTACATTTATTTTGCACTGTAGAAACACTGGAAATGAATTAGCCAATAAATCCAATCCCATGGCTCCATGCAAGGAAAAAGTAAACACATCACCACTCTGGAAAAGTTAAACAACCATGACTTACCATACACCCTAAAAGTAATTGCCTGCTGATATGTCAATCATTTGAACCACTGTCAAAAATGAAAAGTTTTGGGAGGCAACCAATCGATGTTTCTCTCCCACAATGATGTTTCTTTCTCTCTCTCTAAAATAAATAAAAAAAAAGAAAGAAAAGTAAAATATACAAATCACATTTTATAATTAATAAAGGAAAATAATCTACTTAAGCTTCCTAAAATGTAGAGCATCACACTTTCAAGTTTCACAGTGATTAATTTAACACCATTTTATTGTTAAAACTGTCACTTTAAATATACATGTCAAAGTGCTTCAAATGCAGCATACTAGTTAAAATTCCTGGAAGGTTCTAGAACTGGCAGCAAATTTAATAAGGTTATTCACTCACAAAGTGTTTAAGAAAGAGCACACTGCCTTACAAAGAAATCTCATAGGACAAAGAAGATTCTAGTCTGACTTCAAAATTTCCTATAAATAGAGTGCTCAATCAAGTTCAGAACTGAGGTCAAGGCCACTCTGAACACAGGAATCAACAACCAAAAATTTCTGTACCTGCTTTTGGCTTATTTGGAGACCCAAAGTCAAATGTTCTATCCATCAGGTGTACTTTGTTCCCTCTGGCATGTTCCCAGTCCTTGACTAGACAAGATATCTAAGGCAATCAAGGAGATTTGAATGTGGCAAGATCTGGGACAACACAGCAAGTGGGCATCTTTGTCCTAGGCGGTGGCTAGTTAAAATGAAACCCAGGGGAAGACTGGAGAGGAAGAGTTACAAATAGACTTCTAGTTAAAATATATGGGAGAAAGTAGCCTTTGATTCAAACACCTTCAGATTATCTTTTTATTCTCCATAGTTTACAGAATCAAAGTCTACTTTGGACAGCAAAGTACATTCCCAATGCTTTATGACTGACTACAAAATACACTCATTCTTTGAAAATTAAACACTCAGGAAACTTTCAAATTCATATTTGAATCTAAAATTAGTGGAGGAATGACGAGCTATATTGTGACAATTTTAAACTGTGCATTACACTTAAATCATTGGGCCCTGTGGGCATTAGGCATTAAGTGATCCCTTCTTTCCCTTCAAGTAGGTATGACGCATGTTTTTTCCTGTGCATATCCCCCAATGCCCAGTTCCAGACCATGATCAATATTCTTTTGGTATCTAATTTGGAATTTGGGCACTCTAGTGATACATTCCTCTCCTAATAGCTCTTTATTAAAATAAATGACATGTTAGTAGTAGTACATAATATTCTAGACCTGTGGTCGGCAAACTGTGGCTCGCGAGCCACATGCGGCTCTTTGGCCCCTTGAGTGTGGCTCTTCCACAAAATACCACAAAATACCACGTGCGGACACGTGCAGGCGCGCATGTACAGTGCGATTGAAACTTCGTGGCCCATACACAGAAGTCAGTATTTTGTAGAAGAGCCACACTCAAGGGGCCAAAGAGCTGCATGTGGCTCACGAGCTGCAGTTTGCCGACCACTGTTCTAGACCATAATCAGCATTTATTTTAAAATTAGAATTCAAAGTACTTTTAAATTAGAATTAACCATAATATTATTAAATATCAAGGAAGATTATTTACTTTTCTATTTGGAAGTTATTCACTCTATTACCCTTAAGACTAAAACCCATAAACTATATTTATTACGGATTAGTGGAGGAATGACGATTTAAACTAACAAAATTAAACTATGCATTGCACTAAGATCATGTTATTAAAGGAACACAAAAGGCAGCATTAACATTCTCTATCCAGGTATTTTCTAATTTTCCTATCCTGTGCCCCCCATATGTCTTTTAATCGATTAACAGAGTTTTCCACATTTTCTAGTCTGATATTCTATTGCTTGCACCCGCCATTAAGATTTTAAAATTTGACAATCATATTTTTCATCGTTGTAAACCTTTTCTCAATCTCAAAGCATCCCGTTTTCTGCCCAGG